AGAATGGTTGAATTTTCGTTAAATTAAAATCGTACGTCTGCCATATGGTATCTAGGGACTTTTTTTTTCCCCCCACCATGTCGATAAAAAAGAATTACAGGTGTCAAGCGGTTCGTATTCGAGGTTGGAAATTAGCTGTTATTCTCTCGATTTATCGAGTGAATATCTTTGAAATTAATCTCGTTTAGATTTATTTTGGAAAAGTATCTTTCGATATCTATTTTTTTTTTTTCCCATTACAATTCAACACGTTCGAAATTTATATTTCTAACAATTTGACAATATTTTCCAGCATATTTTCGCGAGATAATCGTATTACCCGAAAAGCGCCCTCGATGTAACCGTATAAGAAAAAAAAAAGGAGAAAGAGAGAGAGAAGAAACGCGAAATCGAAGGAGGGAGTCGGCCATTTCAATTCCTCATTAAGCGGGCACGGGTTATTGGCCACGTTTACGTGGACATTTCGCGCGATTAATTCGACTGCAAATGCGGTTTCTTCGCCGCGGTACAACACTTTGTTCGTCCGCTAAGCATTCGTGTCAGTAGCCGGATTACATAAGAAATGTGGCGCTCGTGTAGAGAGAGACGCACACGCGCGCAATAACGGAAGCCTCGCGCGCGCGCACACACACACACACACACGCAAGCGTGTGCACTGCACGGCAGCGAGAGGGGAAATGGGAAGAGGTGGCGGAGTCGGAGGAACTCGATATCATAAATCTTTTCGTGCAAAAGGATCGCAATTATCTTATGCATTAAAAGCATCGCGAGTGTCGATAGGCTCTCTCTATCGAATTCGCAAGGAGCGTAGATGGCGCGCTTGACGCTACCAGGGGAGCAATATCGATAATTACTACCAACGTCCGTCATCCCAGAGTTGGATATGTATGTTTCGAGAAATTTAAATTCTCGATCTCGAGTATGGCATCTTCGAAAAGAATGCGTAATTTTGCGAGTTTACGATACGCGTGTCGAATTTTTTTTATAACGATGATTATTATCCACGAAATTTGACTCTCGATGAGAAATTTCTCTTCCCAATTTTATTTTAACATACTCGATTCTCAGATAGGTGAGCTTCGTTTCTTAAAAAAGAAGTTTCGAATTTTGGCGCCAAAATCGTACACGTTCATTTTACCAGAATTGATTACAGCTTGGCTTTCGTACAAGTCAATTTTTCTCAAATAAGAATCGAGACCAAATCCTCGAAATATTACGACGATTGACAACTTTTTTTTTTTTGAGAAACGAAGTATTATTTTCGTTATTGAAATTAATTTTTTTCAAATTTCTTAATTCCGATTTGATTAAAAAACGATGGGCGAATTTTTCCAAAAAAAAACTTTCCTTCCTTCCTTTACCCGCGAAGATGCGAAATAAACGTCACGGTGGTTTGAATTGTAACGTCACTTCGCGTGAAGTTACATTTCATGGGTCCTGGCTGCGCGAGAAATATTACGTGTATTTTTTTTTTTCGCATGATAATGCGTCTCGCAAAGGATATAAACCTCTTTCGAGATAGCAACACGCCTACACGAACGCCGTCGTTTCACTCGTTGTTACATCGCAATTACGATGGTCGAATTACCGCGGCCGCGTTAACTTTGACGTTCCTTTCTCTTCCATCAAGCTAATTAGCTCGATCACGGGCCGCGGTTGTAACCGCGGCAGGATTCGTTCTAATTTTATCCGCTCGGCGAATCAATTAGAAAAGAAAAAATGCTAATCAATGGACGGTTCGCGCGGGTAACACGCGAGATACGCGGATGAACAATTATCGAAGTTGAGTGTCGGTGCATCCGCCGCCTCGAATTAAAAACAGTGTACGAAAACATGGCTTGCGGCCGTTTAATCGTTAAAGAAATCTTCGACTCTGCATATTTGCATTGAATAATTGTGCTTCGTGCAAAAATGTTGAATATAATGTGGGGAAGTCGCGAGAAACGACCGATTTGCAATTCGGCCTCGGTAAAGTACTGTTTACTCTCTCTCCTTTGTGCACGAGAACCTTCTGATTTCTTAACTTCTTTCGAGGAAAATTCGAAAATATGTATTTTCAAAAAAAAAAAAAAAAAAATTAAGCTATTTTTTTGAAATTAATACCACAGATACTAATGATACTAATCTCATTTAATCCAATAAATTTTTAAACACTGTAATCTATTTTCTTCGTGATTTCTTCAACGTGTATCATTTCGAAAAACTTGAATTTTTATCTATCTCTTAAATTCACATATTCGATCGATATCAGTGTATGTATATTGCAGATCGAGAAATTGTCAACAAACGCGTCTTCCAACGCGACGTTATCGACGTTACGAAAAGAAAGAAGTACGTAAATGTACAATGCTGCGCACAACGTTGTGCGCAACATCACTCTATTCGACAGGTGGGCCGAGCAGCCATGATTCGAAGACATTTAACGAAAATCTTCGCTGCGGCGAACGAAAGGCCGGCCAAAAAGGCCACGAGAGGCTTTCACGTTCGAAAATCGTGCAGGTTTAGTATGGGATTTCGTGATGTTCGGCAGTAAACGACACTGAATGCGCACTCGAATGGCTGGTGGGGTTTCGCTAGCCAACTATGTCGGAATTTCCTAACCTATGTAACGCAAATGTCCCGCGTAAGGTGCCAGGGAATCTCGACGCGGTTTCATCGGGCAAATGCCCGGGAGAGCCACCTGCATCTATAAAATTGAGCCATGCATTATTCATGGAGTCGTGGTTATAGCGCGCTTAGCTCGACCGGTGTGTTTTGCAACGTGGAAAGAAAACGAGCAGCCACCAGCCGCGAATGGATGGTTAGATAAATTGATATGAGGTTTATATCGTGATTGGTAGGCCTGTAATGGGCAGTGTTAACCACGGAAGAGCTAACGGTCGAGGAAAATCGTAGATTTTAGTATCGAGACAAGATCTGTTTGTTGGCGAACGATCCTTATTACGGGAGAACCGATTGAATTTCTTGAATGGCAATTTCCAGTGCAGGGATGATTTGTTGAACGATATATTATTCCGCGTGGAAAGATGGCGTGAAACTCATTTTTCATTTTATCTGGTGTGGACGATTTTTATTTTATTCCGTAAAAAGACACGTGGAATCAATACTGGTTTGCTAAATAAAATACGATATCGTTGGACCAGCTAAAGAAAGACGTAAACGTGCCGACATCTGTGAGCAGATTCTGGCACTCGATCCTCTTTCTTCTTTGACTGGCAACGAAGCGTATGGGAGTCTCGTCACCGGACTATTTATCGGCGAATCAAACTGACTGACTGATGCAAGAGTACTTACAAGCTTTCGATATGTACCGAGAGATGGTTTCGTTTGAAGGAACGCGTTCTTCGACTTCACTCAAAATAATAAAATATATAGGAAATCGAATTATTGCACTTGTTCAAAAAAAAAAAAAAAAAAAAAAAAAAACACGATAAGAAAGATTTATAAAGATATAAAAAATTTATAGAGGCACCAAAAAATTCAAATATTGAAAACTCGTCACTGAAAAATTTACGCGTTTCGGATCATTAAAAAATTCAGATTTCACTTATTCACAATTCTGTTAAAAAATTCAAAAAACTGGCAGAAAATTTATCTTCTACTTCTAACTCGATTCGAAGAGACGACACTTGAGCAAAGTTCGACGAGAAACTGACAGGCAGAAAGAATAAAGGGTGATGCAGAAAGACTGACCTTGCAAGGTTTCCTCAGATTTGGAGGACGAAGAGGAAAGGGTACGAGAGAAATAAGAGCAAATACGAAGAACCTGTGCTCTTACCCAACTCAGGACAGATACCTCAGGGTTAAGGAGGCTATTATCACTTCGTTATTGCCGTCATAAATTTCCAACTCGTTATACCGAAAATTATGCCTGCGATTCTTCGCAGTCACGGTCGGCCCGAGAAAATTTCAGTAAACCTTTCTTGCAATCTTTCGTGCATTCGAAGAAGCAGGTGGTGGGTCTCCACTGGGATCCTAAGAATATATATTGCGTTCAATTCGTCAACGATTGAAAAGACCACGAACTCTGTTTAAAGAAATGGAATTTATCTTATTTAAAGTTAAACCAGTGGCTCTCAACCTATGGAGATTTTTTCGCACGTGCGACTGAAAAATATATTTTACCTTATTTATTTATAATAATTTTCTTCGTATCCCCAGTGAAATGAATGATTCATATATATTCAAAGGTAAGTATGAAAGTATGAAATCATTTATAGAGTGTTTGCCGCACAAGAATCGTTCTCGTCCAAAAGGGGATTTGGATTCTCCCCGTTTAGCTGGACACGCAAAGGTGAAAACAAGCGAGGTAACTAGTTCAAAGTGTAGCAGGAACAAGCGTGTTATCATGGGAATAAAAGTGGATGAGCCTCTGCCAAGCTGTGGAGGCAATGCGAGCACGCAGCCGGGAACTTTTATGGGGAGGTAATGCAAGTATGTGTGTGGTGAAACGAACGAGAGAGCTAAAAGGTCAGGGCAATAAATAACTCGGGATGTCGGTATACCTAGAAACTGGAGACATTATGCCAATCTTGGCTTGCGAACCCGTACGAATGTGGTCTAGTTTTACCCGCTGTTGCATAAATCTGAAAGCGGCCGACTACCTGCCTCCTCACTAGAAATCTTTTGCTTTCTACCAACAACCTTTTGATCGCGCGGGAAAAAGCCTTGAGCCTATTTTCGACAACCGCCTCACGTATTCCGCAGATGTTACGCTCCTTTCCTCAAGGTAAACGCACGGATTTTCAAACTCCACAATTTTACACAGAACACCCCACCGTCCAATTTAGATCATTCTAAAAATCTTTCATCCTTATCAGGAATCATGATCAAAAAATGTTCCAACGTATTTCTTAACCAAGTTCACACAACGAATCTACGACACAGAGCGAATATTTCGAGTCGAACCACCGTTCATCCAACCCCTCCCTTCGAGGCTGCCTGAACCTGGAGAAATCACGACGTCAGGAGGAAGCTTGAACTCCAATTCCGTCTCTTACCGAATTGACTTCTCATCCACGGGTAGAGCGGGCTCGGCAGGTTGGCGCTGGCCGCGCCCTGAGGCGCGGCCTGTTGTTGCTGGCTGAGCGGCGACGTGACCACCCCTTGGTGTTGCTGAGCCTGGGGCTGCTGTTGGGGATGCATGCCCGGCTGCGACTGCTGCGAGGCCGCCTGGGTCTGCTGCTGCTGCTGGTACATCATGTGCTGCTGCTGGGCCTGAAGGTGTTGCTGCTGTTGCGACTGGTGCTGGCTCTGCTGCGGCTGCATGTGGGGGTGCTGCGTGTGCATTTGGTGGTGCATCTGCGACTCGACCAGCGGCGGGCTGTCCGGCCCGTCGAGCACGCTTCCCTGGTGGTCGACCGCTGCCGCCTGAAGCTTGCAGCTCGCGTACACGATCGGGGTGGACGGGTGCCCGTTGGGGGTCGGCGTGTGCCCCATGTGGCCCATGCCGGGGCTGGGCGAGGTCGACCTGTAACCACCCATCCCGTCCATGCTCCCGTGCTCCTGCTGGTGCTGGTAATACGTCGCGTTACGCATGTCCATCCGATTGTAGGGCGGGAACCTCGGATAAGGCATATCTTGTTGGCTGCCCGCCGCCCCGTAATGGTGGCCGGGGACGCCCTGGCGCAGGAGGCCGGGGTCGCACGGGTCGCCGGCCTGCTGGGACTGTTGCTGCACCGACTGCGTTTGCTGGGGCACCTGGACGGCCGCACCGTAGTGCTGCTGATGCTGATGCGGGTGTTCCACCCCGCCATTACGCAGGTCCGGGATGTACGAATTCGCGAAATACGAACTCATGCTACTGTCCCACCTGGCCCACCTTCTGATTCCACCTTTCTCTCTCTCTCTCTCTTCCTCTCTCTTCCCTCTCTCTCTCTCTCTCTTCTTCGTTCTTCTCTTCTTTTCTCCTTGGTTATCTTATTTATTGTTATTATTATTATTATTACCCACGCTCCTCTCCCTCGCTCTTTCTCTCTCTTCTTCTTCTTCTTCTTCTTCTTCGAGTCTCTCTGTCTGTTTTTGTTCAACGTTTATTCGGGGTTTAATGTTCTTCTCCTTTCCCCCCTTCCGACTCCAACGAGTCGACTCCTTCTTCCTTTTCTTTCTCGTCTTCTTCTTCTTTTATACGTTGTTATTATTGGTTTTCCGTTTGTCCGTTTGTTTTATTATTATTATTATTATATTCTTTCTTTGTACTCGGAATACGGACACACTGCGGGCCACACACGCGTCCTTACGTATACATTGGGCAATCTTCCTTTTCTTCCCTTTCTTTTTCCTATTCTTTTCTTTTTATTTTACATCACGAAAACATCACCTCCTTCCTGCGCCCCTCCACAACACACTCTCGCGCACACAACACTTTTCACACGTGTATCACGCGAGCATCACCACTCCGAACTCCACCACTTGTTTGTTTCTCCTCTTTCTTTCTTTCTTTTTTTTTTTTTCCTTCCTCTTTTTATCCTCCTCTTCCGCGGTCCCCGTTTTCGTTTCCTCTCCTCCTCCTTTTCCTTATCACACTGGATTTTATCAGAAATTTTTATTCGAAACTAGAAACTGGAGCACTGTTACAGAACCGTTTACGAGTTATGAATTATTTGGGGGGGGGAGGGGGTGTATAGTTGGGGGGGAAGGGTGGTTTTAAAACTTGTACACGGGGGGGGGGGTGCTTAAGATGGCGATCAGAGTTCTCCTTCGGTGTGGTACCTTCGTTCAAAACGCCAAGCCGCTCCAGACACGTTCCGTTCCTCTGTCCACCCTGCTAACGAAGTTGTGCCGCACCTGCAACACCAGGAAATGCGCGTCCCTCGTTAATTTCGATGATTAATTAAAAAATCCTTTGCTACATCGTGAAAAATAAGACAGGGAGGGAGGGAGGGAGGGGCGGGGGAGGTAAATTAAATCGACTCCCTGGAATAATTTTTCGAAAAAACTACTTTTTTTATTGTAAAAAGAGAAAAAATTTAATAATAATAATAAAAAACTTAATTTCGAAGATATCCGAATTTAAACGAGTCGACCCCCTATCTCGAATTTAAATATTAGTAAGAAATATTTTCCTCCCGCAAATTTTCGCAACACCTAAATTTTAATAGGCCGTGCAATTAATTACATTTACACACGTACACTCCCGATTATGTTTGAGTACATGTATGTGTATATACATGCATTTATATACGCGTTTCTTTCGATCACTTTTTATTCTCGACCACATGTCGGCTCTAACCGCATAGTTAATTTTTTTACACGAGTTGTGAAAAAACGGATTCTTGACCGCAGAACTATCTCGTTCGAGAGCCACCTGCGTGTCGAGTAGCGTCGACCATCGTCTTTGCACGTTGTTGAGAATGACGTTTCAGAGGCCAGTTCCTCCTCGGCCAGACCCCGTTCGCCGATCCTTGCTCGACAGACTGAACGCGGAGTTCGACTCTGCGAGTGAGTGACAGAAGGCGAGGTACACACGTGCTCGTCACGGTGACGGCCATCGCCCAGACGTCGAGCATGGCCCTTGCGCGTGGGCGGGCTAAACGATCGTTAAATTTGGAAAAATTCCCGTGTCATTAACCATCACGGCTAACTGAACGCTCCCCCCGTCCTCCCCCACTCCTCCTGCTGCTCTACTAATTTTTTTGCCGCGCAACCGCCGCCGACTCGTTAGTAGAATCGTTTCTCTCTCTCACTCTCTCTTCACTTTTTTGTCGAGTTTATGACGGTAAACAGAAGAGGACGCGTCCGGGGAGGAGAGCAGAGGCACAGTGGCCTCCTTTGGTTAAAAATGTCCGTTATCTAGAATTTTATTCTAGCTTTTCGAGAAACGTTTGAGAAACGTTCGAGAAATTCTGTCTCGACGTTTTTATCGTAATAAAGCGTTGGGAGAGAAATCTCGTAATACCGTTCCAACGGAGAACGGAGAAAAATAGAGAAAATGATAATTCATCGGCATTTAGATTAGATAAGACATTTTTAACTAAGGAGTATTAAGCAGAGTATTGTTTAGGAATATTGGTGGGGAGGATATGTTTTATTGTGAACAAATAATTTGGTAATTTATTGTTATTCGTTTTTTATTTTCATTACATTTCATTTCAAACATTAGATTACAATTAGATTGAATTTTGCAGGAATACGAGAAGTTTAAGAAATTTCGTCAAGATGGTGCGTCGTTCTTTATCTTTAAGGGACTCTGGGCTCCACGTACTGCATTACCGATTGTGCAAGAAACGATGCGCCATTTCTAAAATCAAAAATAATCAAAATTCAATACTTATTAATACATCTTTTTGTTTTTCGATACTATTTTCTTGATTTACGTCATTGCTATTATTTATAGCAAAAAATGTTTCATATAAAAGTTGAACAGTTTAAAAAGGAGTATATTCTGGCATTATTAGAGTTTTCGTAGGAGAACGTGTAGAGATTTTAGAGAGACAGATTTTGATTTTTTAAATGGAATCACATGTATTTTAATGCAGTAATCGATGCAAATTGGCATTCTCTACAAAAAAGTATTAAAACATTTATAGCAAAAAATTATTAGTTTAACAGATATTCAATTATAATGAATTATCTCATGAACTAATAATTTTAAGACATTTATAGTCTAATACTTTTCTATAGAGAATAAGGAGCTGCATCAAATAATGTATTAAAAAACATAGGGTTCTATACAAAAAAACTAAATTGATCCTAATAATTTCTTCATGCTTCTTCCTATAAAAAAATTAATGATATGATAATATACTCCGTTTG